GCAGGAAACATGCCTCAGGAATTGTGGTACAGATTTCGAAGGTCACTGATGCACTTCCGCAAACCAGTTATTGCTCAGTTCCAGTTAGTGTTGTGTACATGAGACCATTAAAATGGATTTTTTTGTTTCTCCTTGTATTTTCTGTCACAGCAGTGTGGTATGTAGCTTTTTCTTCCAACACTGTGATCGAGCATACAAACCTCAAGTATTTCTATGAATTTGAACCAATTTACAAGCAACATTACCTCTTTACACTGCGGGAGCGCTTGAAATGCAAAGACATAAATCCATTTCTGGTCATCTTGGTGTCTTCACGTCCCAAGGATGTGACATCAAGGCAGGCCATCAGGATAACATGGGGATCTCAAAGCTTCTGGTGGGGACATCGAATTCTAACCCTGTTCTTGCTAGGTCAGGATTCTCAAAGAGAAAACAATGCTGCAGCCCTGTCAGTAGAAGATGAAAGCATCCTCTATGGTGACATAATTTGCCAGGATTTTGTGGACACTTACGACAATCTGACCTTGAAAACAATCATGGCGTTTCGGTGGGTCACTGAGTTCTGTTCAAACACTAGGTTCTTCATGAAGACTGATACCGATGTCTTCATCAACACTTCTAACTTGGTAAAATTTCTTCTGAAGCTAAATTCCTCAGAAAATATTTTTACTGGTTATCCTCTCATCGATAACTTTGCCTACAGAGGCTTTTACCAAAAAACATACATCTCGTATGATGAATATCCATTCAGGTTGTACCCTCCGTATTGCAGTGGGATGGGCTATATCCTAGATGGAAAACTGGCCCTGAGAATTTATGAACTGATGAGTCATATCAAACCTATTAAATTTGAGGATGTTTATGTTGGAATTTGTTTAAATCTGCTTAATGTGAACATCAGTATTCCAGAAGATAACCAACAATTTTTTCTTTATAAAATTAATTTTGATATCTGTAAGTACAGGCATTTGATTGCAGTACATGGCATTACATCAAGTGAAATAATCAGGTTTTGGCAGGATTTGTCATCAAACACTTCAGTTACTTGCCTTTGATTCTGTATTAACACGTAAAGTGAAACCTGTTTGGTGTGAAAACATCCAGGGCAACACTAAACGACAGCTGCAGAAATGGCTTCAGCTGCAGGAGGGCTGTGCTGCTGGGGCAGAGGGCAGTGACAGCATTTCTCTGGGACTTTCTGCTACTCTGAAATAAAGTTAAGAATTCACAAAGCACTTTTCCATGTACATACCCTGTGCATGCAGGATACTTTGGAATATACCATCCTGACTTCCTCTGATGTTTCTCAATGTGATCAGCTATAGCTACAGGGTTTCTACTTGAATATGAAATGTCACCAAGGAATAATGCTTATGCCAAGAAACTGGCTTTGGAGACGCTTCCCAGATTCCTGCCTGGATTGTTTTTATTGGTTTTGCAAGTGCATCATCCTTTGCCACTCTTGAGTATTTGTTCTCTGCCCAGCACGAAGCTTCTGCCAACCTTTTTCTTTCACTATATCACCACTTTAATTGTCCCAAGAATGTTACTGTCTTATTTAAATGTATCACCTCTGAAATTGCTCTGGGAGTGTTACAAGCCTGTGGACCTTGTAGGGTCTGCAGAAGCTGATGGGAAATTCTGAGAATGGGATGCACTCTTTTTGTGTATCTATGGATGGATAAAACAGAATTACCTTGGTGCCTTTGGTAATATTCATAGGCTACTAGAGGGCTAGATGCAGTGGAGTTCATATGCAGTTTATTTACTAGACATCTGTAATACATCGGGGTAATCAAACCCCATGTATGTGCACACACCTACATGTGTGTACTGCAGCATGTGGGGAAGATTCAAATAGATGCTTTTATATTGTGACATATTTTTTAGAAACATCTGTCTCTAAAAGAGCTTTCTTCAGATTTAAAATGAAAAAGGTAAGAAATGCTATCATTTGTATTGCATAAAGAAGACAAACTCTACTGTATCTGTAAAGACAGGTATTTTAATCACTTTATTCATATCAGCAAGGCCAAGTTTTCAGTAGTTTACACTTCTAATAGACAACAATACAGAATTTGCAACTGCATTAACATAATTATTCTTGACACATCCACTACACAGTGAAGATACTATAGTTACATCCTGTACAGCTAGAATGACAGAGCACTGCCACCTTGTTTGTACTACAGCTAGGATGGTACCATGTATTTACATTTGGCTGTCTTTCAGCTAGTCTCTTAGAGACAAATTAGAAGAGGTGCAGAAACCTCTAGTACCAAGTTGGAGGTTTTACCAGGTTTTTTGTTACATTGTGATTATGGTCAGTATTGAATTTTGCTACCTTTTCATCTACTGCACATGGGTTTTTGATGGAATTATAGGAAATGTTATTATTTTTTTTAGATATAAAAATGAGGTCTTGGGGACCATACTCTCTAGACAAGTATTTCAGATGTCGCTGTTTTAAGAATGTATGTTAAGAAGGTCAACACTTTTCAAAAATAGATACTTTTTTGTTAAACTAAACAGCTAAAGATACAGTATTGCATAATGGAGGAAAGAATGCTCTTCTATTTCTCAAAACAGAGGTAAAACTACAGCTGTTCTTGTGGGTTTAGGATCTGTTATTTGATTGTTGTATTGTGATCAGATCCCGAGAGCTCGGTGAGAGAGAAATGTTTCACTTGTTCTTTGATTGTTTACACATCTTAAAGAAAACCAACCTCCTTTTTTTTGTTACGAGCCTGCCATGTTAAATGTTGAGAAATCACTTATTTGTCACAAGAACACTGATGCTACCACAGTTTGTATTGCTTTTTTCTTTTTTTTAAAAAAAAAAAAAAGAAAAGTAATTATGAGAGACACT